TGCGGCCGGAGCTGGTCGTAACCCAAAAAGTTCGTTAACAGAGGCGTTCGTAACCCAAGGTTCCACTGTATCTTGTTTGTAGGTGTATGTGACAGACATAATCAGTTGGCCACAACTGATTATTATTACCAAATAACATATATTATTTACTATTCCCTATTTCTTTGTAAAACTACAGAAAATATATTTAAAAATCCTATGAAATGTAATTTTTAATACTATTATTTTTATGGAGGGAGGAACCCACCAAAGCAAAAGTGTGTAGGGCTCACAAAAGTCCTCATGTGGCCCTAGTTGAAAGCTGTTTTTCCTTTAACCAGGCTATTGCCACTGCCCCTCCTTGTCTTCCTCTCAGTCTTGCAATACTCCAACTCATCTTTTCTCACAACAGGTTCTTTCCCTGACTTGAGTTTTGTTTCTTCCTTCAGCAGAAAACTATAGCCTCCGGACACCCACAGATATGTCAGCACTAGGAAAGCTCCCACTATCTTTGCTGCTGTCGGAGCTCCTTTTATCACTTAGTTTAATGGCTGGGAGGTGGAAAAAGTATAGAGATTCATGCAGGTTCTGGAATGCTTATGCCTCTTTCAAAAGGGGAAGGACTTGCACCTCCAGAAGCTTGGCCTTGGCTTCCAGACCAAAAAAAAAAAACTCAGAAAAGTGGGGGAAGGTTTGCTCTTTCCCAACCTTTTACAGCTAAACTCTACTACAAAATAAATGGGACTTTCCTTTGATAAATTCCATACATAAAGTGATAAAATAATTGCACTCTTACATTTGAAATTGAATTGTTATCTTTTCTGGAAATTCCTAAAATCAAGGAAATGTTGAAGGTTAAGTTTGCTGTCCTCTTGGTATGCCGCAACTGTGAATGTTTTATGCTTTGTTGAAACAAATAATTATTTGATAGCTAATGAAGGCTTGAAACAGAATCATTAAATAGCTTTTTCATCTCCTTTTTTATTTTTTTGTCAGGGTGAATTTGTAGAAGATGGGACAGAAACACATTTCAGTATTGGAAAGCATAACTGTTGCATTAAAGCTATCAGCAGTGGGAAGAGAAGGGAAGGAATTCTTCACATGCTCATTGTGGATGATGGAGAAATTCCAGAAGCCTTGGAATAGCTTTCAGAGACTAATGCAGATAAAAATATCAGGGATTTTCAATTACTGCGGTAATTGACAACTTAAATATTTACTTGTACATTTAGTCTGTGATGGATTTTTTAAGTTACTGCATAGGCAATTCACTAGAGGGCCAAATGAATGTGTAAAGTTATGTATAATTTCTAGTTATTTTCTTATATAGGGATAGTAAAGGGAAACTTGACTAATGTAGAAATTGTTTACATGGGACATTTTAATAAAATAGTGCAAAATCAAAGAGTCAGTTTGTTCATTTACATGTTAGAGTCTGGTTTTTATCCCTTTAAATTAAGTTTAATTTTTTAAAAAAGTGTGTACCACAATGAGGCTAAAAATATCTTTAGATTTATGATCAGTTAAACTGATACCAGCCGTCTACATGCCTTTGAAGCCAGTTTTCAGCTCTATGTGCTATGATTGCTATAAAAGTCCCATATCTATCTTCCCTATGTCATTCATTCTGTGAATGACAGAATGAGATCTATCTCATGACCTAGTGAGATCTATCTAATGAGGCTTATGGAACTCATGGTCGATGAGTGCTTGTGTTCAGAAAAGGTGAAGTCGCGATGTCCTTTGGCAACTCTATAACTGCATATAGAAGATACAGTACAGTAGAATCAAGTGTTACATTTTCAAAATCCATGTAGCTTTAAGAATGTAAACAAAATTTCTATATTATTCCCATGAATATAGAAATCTAAAGGAGAGAGGGTAGGTAGGTAGGTATTTATTTATCTATTTATTTATTTATTAAATTTGTATGCCGTCCATCTCCCTCAGTGGGTGACTCTGGGCGGTTCACAATAAAAGTAAAAGGCACAAACAGTTAAAAAATAAATAGCCCATTCATTAATTAAAATTAATTAATTAAAAAGTCAAACTACAGAAAAAAGCCCTATACATAAAAACTAAAAAACATTCAAGATGATGGGGGAGTA